GTCCTGAGCTGCTCTGTAGAAGCTGAACTCTACCAGCACTCTGGACTTCACCAAGTTCTTAAAAACAGGAAGCACATCAACATGTAACTCCTCCTTCACCTTCCTCTTGCGACTCACATACACCGCCATCTTTGCCAGTCCCAAGACAAAGTTTAAAAGTTGACATTTGTCCTTCTGTTGGCGAGTGTATTTAAAACCACAAATAAAAACCTGCTTCGTAAAAAATTCTCCACACTTGGTAAAAATGTTCTGTAACAGTGTGAACAGAGGTGTGAGCCGTGAACACTCATAGAAACAGTGAAACAGCGTCTCCCTGAGACCGCAGAAGGGACAGCCCTCCTCTACAGCAGCATTAATCACTGAAATAAAAGAGTTCACCGCCACAATACCATGGAGGATCCTCCACTGCAAGTCCCCATGCCTTTTAGAGAGAGGAGGTCTTACATTAGAACGCAATTTCAAGTAAGTCCTCCATGGGGTGTCACTGCGCCCATTCAGTGTCCTCCTATTCAAAGTTTTAACCATCATCTGGTACAGAGTCTTTCCTGAGGCGCCCTCCAGAGATGCTCCTCCACAGTCAACAGGTCCAAGGAACAACCCAGAACAATCCTTAAAATCCGGTACCAAGTTAATGGCAGGATATGGATCAGAACAGTCTGGCACCAGTGCACCGTCACAGAAGTCAGCCAACAGTGACACCTGATGACCGGTCAGCTCCTGTCTCCAGTGCTGTAGTAACTGACCGACGACCCGTGTAGACCTCACCCCCAGCCGAACAGCCAGTCCAACAGGATCATCCAGCCGTGGTCCAGCCAGCTCCAGCACCTGCCCCAGAGTGGTAACCCCTGCAGTCTGAAGCGTCCTGGACAGAGTGGGTCCAGCCCAGCCAGGACAGTCCAACACTCCTCCAAACAGCACCGGCTCCCTGAGGAGCCAGTACACAGAGTCGATCTGTCCCTGTCTCTGCCTTCTCAGCAGAGTCCACACAGAGAAAACACTTTTATAAAAATCTGGCAGAGATGAAAATGTCATCCTCTCAGAGTCCATGAGGAACAGAGGCAGATCCAATCCCAGACCACCAAACTGCCGCAGGATGCAACAGGACAACGGTCTCCACACCAGGTCTGTAGGCCCAGTGAGCAGTCTCTGTATGAACTGAAGGCGGAAGGTGGCTCCCCTGCTGGCCAGATGGACCAGGCCCTGTCCACCCTCCTCCTTTGGTAAAAAGAGAACACTCTGAGGAACCCAGTGTAACCTGTCCCAAAAAAAATCAACTAAAACTCTCTGGACCTGAGACAGAAGAGAAGCTGGAGGATCAACACAGGCCAACCGGTGCCACAGAGCAGAAGAGATGATGATGATAATGTGTCAGCAGCGTGTCACTGGAGCTAATTTAACCATTTTCACAGTGACGAATCTGCAACATATGATCACTGATTATTGATTAACCTGCTTCTATTCTATAATGAGTCCAAAGACTGAAACTCGAAGCACGGTTCTGAGCAGCAGAGATGTTGGATTTCAAAACACTTGGTCCTTCTCTCAGAGTCCTGAGTCAGACCTTAACCACATGTATATCTGTTGAGTGTGACATTCACCTTCACTTCGATGATGTCATCATCTCTTTGATGTCCCTCGCAGAATAAAGGCTCCAAGAAACAGAGTCTGTTAGAACTTTCACTGAGGGAATCTTCCAGTTTTTAAGTTTCCTTCAGTGATTGACAGGAAAAACATCCATGATACCACTTGCAGACAGGAAGTGATCACAGCTGGTCACAGTTTGATCTCCGATGAATGTGTTAAGGGACAGTTCTGACTACACTGAACTGATCCAGGTAAATCTAATTAATTAATTAACTATTAATTCTCAAATTATGACTAAAAAAGTCTTTTGTGAGTTCACAGTTACCTTTGGACCATCAAAATTCTAATCATTCATTCCCTGTGAGTCCCAAGTGGAATGTTTTGAGACAAAGTTGAAGGAAGTCTTTGCTGACCGACGAAATGAATGAAGGCTGTGACCACAGATAACAGTGACTGTGTGTACAATTCACACATAATACAATACAATTGGTATGAACAATAATAGATTAATGATAACTTGAAAAGCAGTGGCTGACTTTAGATTAGGCTGAACCAAACATCCAACATATACCATTAACTGACAAGATGACTGAATGATAATGCTGTGTTTCCTGACCGAACGGTCATGTCAATAAAGCCTTCTTTTGAATAATGGAACAGTTGGATGAGAAGCAATCTAGCCTGCCTCAGTAGTTGTTCATCTTCCTGGCTCAGATCTGGAACTGTAGTTCGGAGCTCAGGGGAGAGCCCGGGAACTTTGGTTTACTGACAAACAGCCAAAGTCACATTACCATTACCCTGTACGTCCAACAGGCATTACACCGCTAACTGCGAGCGCTAAACAAGGCTAACTCTCTGCTCGGTTGCCATCCGTCCAACGGCTCACTCCTCTCGTCTCTCACCTCTCTCTCTCCTC